GTGCACTGGGCCTCCAGTGGGTTAATAAAATGTGTGAATATACATGGAATATTCAACCATAAAAAGGAATGATCTGATTCATGCTGCAACATGGATGAACCTTGAGGACATTATTCTAAGTAAAATAAGCCAGACACAGGAGGACAAATGTGTGATTCCAGTTGTATGAGGTCACTAGAAGTCAGCAGGTTCTTTTTGTCACAGAAACTTATCACCTAAACCCAGAGGCCTGACGACACTCATGTTCTGTCCCCTTTGGCAAATTCATAGTAGACCAGAGTTACCAGGGCTCTGGGAAAGCGAGAATGGGGAGGGATTGCTTAATGGGGACTGAGTTTTTTTGTGCTCATGAGAAGTTCCTGGAAATGAACAGTGGTGATAGTTGCACAACCTTGTAAATATACTTAGTGCCACTGAATTTTAACACTTAAAATAGTTTAAAGGTAAATTTTGTGTCATGTATGTATTTGCCACAATTTTTAAATTATATAAAATAAAAATTTTATTGATTCCCTCCCCCCCCCAGTTTTATTGTAAAATAACTGACATGCATCACTATATAACTGGTTATTTTTTAAAAGGCGGGAGGGGTCAGTGGGGTCCAGGGAGGCTGAGGGGTCAGGTAAGATGAGAGAACTGAGAAGCGAATGTAGGACACAGTGGCATGGAGATGGGCAAGGACGTCGATGAGAATAGTGACGCTGGTGAGGTCATCAAAGGCCAGATGGTAGGAGGCTGAGGTGGGAGTAGAGGGTGAAGATCGTCTCTTCAAGTTCTAGACTACACCAAGTCAGAGCAGGGAGAGCCTTTGGAAGTCTTTGATTAGTTCCAGCCTCTCTATGACAGATGGGGAAACTGAGGCCCAGGGAGTGGCAGGGACGAGCCAAGGATTCCAGAGCAAGTTGGGGTCAGACCCAGACGTCTGGTAGCCTGTCTATTTCCCTGTGCTAATCTGGGATAGTGAGGAGTGGTGCTAACAGGGACAGGAAGTGTCCTTAATCGAGGTCAGACAGAGATGGAGATGAAGGAAGAGGACCGGGTAGGATGAGGATCTCTGCCAGGGCTGCCAGGTCAGGGAGACCGTTCTATGACAGATGGGGAAACTGAGGCCCAGGGAGTGGCAGGGACGAGCCAAGGATTCCAGAGCAAGTTGGGGTCAGACCCAGACATCTGAGAGAGAAACATCGATCAGCTGCGTCCTGCACGCCCCCCAGTGGGGATGTGCCCACAACCAAGGTACATGCCCTTGACCGGAGATGGAGATGAAGGAAGAGGACCGGGTAGGATGAGGATCTCTGCCAGGGCTGCCAGGTCAGGGAGACCGTTTTCTATATAGTTGTCCTGCCAGGGCAGGCTCCACGCTGGGCACCAAGATCCCAACAGCTCAGATGGAGGGACTAAGCTATATCCCCTTGAAAACCTGAAAACCATATTCCTCCCATCCTCTCTCTCCACAACCACTTCCCGCCTCCCCAGTGACCCCTGGTACCCCTCCCCAGCCCTCCCAGCACTGGTTCTAAGCTCAGCTCAGCTCGCATTGACTTGCTTCTTATGGGCCTGGGATGTGGTATTCCTATGGAACAGAAGTTCATGGTGCTTGCCTTGTGAGGACCAAATGGTGCAGGGGTAGTGGAAAGCTTTGGTGGCAGGGACTGGGCAAAGGGGCACAGAGTCCCATCTTGGCCACTGACCTTGTGAATGTCCTTGACTCAGTTTCTTCATTTCCTCAGTGAAGGGTCAGAACACAGCATGGTGTAGCCAAAAGAATAAGGACTTGGGGGTCAGAAAGGCCAAGTTCTAACTGAATTCTCTTCTACCTCTCACTAGCTATGTAACCCTAGGCAAGGAATTTTACCTCTGAGTCTTGAGTTCACATCTGTAAAATGCGAATAATGAGTCCTATGCTAGAGATGACTTAAGGCCCCCCCCAACCCCTGCAGGCTGGGGGGAGCCCCGCTGAGCCCCAGGGTGGGGGGAAAGGGAGGACACCCACCTGCACAGAACACACCCTTCACTCCACTTCTGAAGAGCAGGACACGCACTTGTCGGTCGTCCCGCAGCCGGGCCAGGGCTTCCAGCAGCTGCAGGGGAGACCCCATCAGATACCTCCCAGCCCAGCCCCCACCCACCCTGGCGTCGGCCATTTCTCACCTCGCTAACAAAGACGTGTCCCAGGGCGTTTCGGGCGTGCGGTCTGTTCATCAGAATCTCAGTGATTCCTGCAGGGGACCGGGCGACCTTGGGTGAGGCCTCTGGCCTGCCCACTCCTGGCTGGGCCTGGGCAGCGTCCACCCTTGAGCAGCAGTGTGATGGGAGTCACACATGCCCAGGCTTTGTTTTCCTGACTATGAAACAGAATAACACTTGTCCTTTCTGCTTCACAAAAGAAGTAGAAGGGCGTGTGAACTGCGGAGAACATGGGGAGAGGGACAGTGACCACTGCAGTGGTTCCTGCCTGCCTCTGCCATTGTTACACACACACACACACACACACACACACACACTCTCTCTCTCTCTCTCTCTCTCTCTCTCTCTCTCTTTCTCTCTCTCTCTCTCTCATAGACTTAGTTGTGTGGCTTTTTTTCCTTTTCTTTTTTTTTAGAGCAGTTTTAGGTTCACAGTAAAATTGAGCAGAAAATACAGAGATTTCCCTTATATCCCAGCCTCCCACACATGCACAGCCTCCCCCATGTCAACATTCCACACCAGAGTGGGACATCTGTTACAGCAGACAAACCTCCATTGATGTGTCACCCAACGTCCACAGTGTACATACGGTTCACGCTTAGTGTTGTGCGTTTGCTGGCTTTGGGCTAAAGTGTAACACCATTAGTCTGCTCTGTGGCCCCGCATTCTCCTGGCCTCCTCCTTCCTCTCAGATGACACCCTGCACTTCTCTAGGTTTTCTTCTACCCAATTTTTAAAGTTCTTACCTCATTTACTAAACGCATGTCTATAATAAACAAGTCCTGGGTTTGTGGTATTGGAAAGCTGCTAAGAACGTAGATCTTAAGCATTCTCAGAACAAGGGGGAAAAGGTGTAGCTATGTGTGCTGGTGGATCTTAACTAGACTTACTGTGATGCTTCTTTCACGGTGTAACAAATACCGAGTCATTTGGTTGTACACCTGAAACTAACATAAGTCAATTACACCTCAATTTTTAAAAAGCCCAACTCTTAAGAAGGTAAATCGACAAGATATACAAATGACCAATAAGCACATGGAAAGATGTTTAATTGTATTAGTATCAAATAAATGAGTTGTTTTTGTTTTGTTTTGTTTTGTTTTAAATATATTTTATTGATTTTTTACAGAGACGAAGGCAGAGGGATAGAGAGCTAGAAACATCAATGAGAGAGATCGATCAGCTGCCTCCTGCACGCCCCCCAGTGGGGATGTGCCCACAACCAAGGTACATGCCCCTGACCAGAATCGAACCCAGGACCCCTCAGTCCGCAGGCCGATGCTCTATCCACTGAGCCAAACCGGTTCGGCTTTGTTTGTTTGTTTTTTTTAAAAAAAGCATACTAAGATTTGACTATACACCCAGTACAATGGCTAAAACGAAAAAATCTGAAAATAAAACCAGTGTTGCCCTGGTTGGTGTTGCTCAATGGTTAGAGCGTCATCCAGCGCACCGAGGGGTCTTGAGTTTGATTCCCAGTCAGGGTTGCAGGTTAGGGCCCCAGCCCTAGTTGGGGTGTGTGCGGGAGGCAACCGATCGATGTCTCTCTCTCGCATCGTTTCTCTCTCTCTCCCCCTTCCTCCCTCCCTTCCACTTTCTCTAAAAAACAATGGGAAAAATATCGTTGGATGAAGGTTAACAAAACAAACAGGCAAACCACCAAGTGTTGGCGATGAAAAAAGAAACTGTACTATCTATTGAACAATTGTAATATATAAGAAATTGTGTGAGTTATAAGTTATGTAATAGTCCCTGCCCGCAAAGTGCTTATAACCTAATACAAGTAAATAAAAATACGAGGTCTTGAGTAAGGTACGTGCATACAATACTTAGAGATTGCAGGTGGCAGTTCACAGGCGGAAGCGTTTGAGCAAGGTGAGAATAAGTAAAAACGTTCATTTGAGGAATGAGGTATGGTGGGAAAAATACTATAGGTAATGGACTACTCAATTTTTTAAAGTCCAAGTTCCTGAGAGCTCAATCCAGGCCCTCTTTATTCAATCATTTGTACAATTAAATAATGCATCTAACATGTGTCGGCTTCTGTACTAGACATGGATTCCAGAGACCAGGCAGGCCCAGGCCCTGTCCTCTCAGAACCTGCAGTCCGACAGAGAAGACAGACATTCAGTGATGTAATTACTGTCTGTGATGAGAACACAGAATAAAAAGGACAAGGAGGTAGGAGGAATAGGGTGGGCCATGGGGAACCCTAGTGTAGAAGGTCAACAATGACCTCCTGGTGGAGGAACTGACCTTTTGGCTGAGAGCTGAGGGGTGACTAGGAGAGCGAGGCAGGCAAAAGTCTGTGTGTGTGTGTGTGTGTGTGTGTGTGTGTGTTGGTGGGGAGAGAAGCCCATTCTTTTTTCTTTCTTTCTTTCTTTTTTTTATATATTTTATTGATTTTTTACAGAGAGGAAGGAAGAGAGATAGAGAGTTAGAAACATCGATGAGAGAGAAACATCGATCAGCTGCCTCCTGCACACCTCCTACTGGGGATGTGCCCGCAACCCAGGTACATGCCCTTGACCGGAATCGAACCTGGGACCTTTCAGTCCGCGGGCTGACGCTCTATCCACTGAGCCAAACCGGTTACGGCAAGAAGCCCATTCTTTTTGGCTGGGCCCGAGAATTAAACTGACATAAAACAGATTAAGAGGAGAAAGCATGCACATTTATACAAGTTGTACATGACATGGGAGCCCCTATAAGGAAATGAGCCCCCCAGAAATGGTGGAACCTACCTGCTTTCATAGCAGGTTGAACAAAGAGACAGTTGCGGAAAGGTAACTAAACTAGTGAGGAGGCTAAAGGAAAATAAGAATTTCGTTTTTTAATAAAATGTGTTTGTGCAGAGTTCTCTTGGCTTTGCTTCTCTGTTGAAGAACGTTTCTTTTCTCCTGGTCCAGGGAGGACAGCTTTCCCGGGGGAGTATTTATCTCGTCTTCAGGAAGAAAAGGGGAAATCCAAATGCCTTTCGTGCATCTGCTGTTTTTTGTGTTTTTTTTTTTCAAGTGCCTTTAGCACAAAGTAATCCTTACGACAAAGAGGCATATTTTGGGGTAACGTATTCTGCCACCTTTCGGTGTCTTTGGGAACTGGAGGAGTAAAGGGAGAGCAGCGAAAGGAGGTAGGAGAGTCCGGAGGAGCTGGGCTTGCTCATCTTCCCTTCTTCTGCACCTCCCATGTGCTTGCCTCTTCTATCCCCGGGGCTGCCCTGCACACCTGGCCAGCCCAGAGCTCTCCTCTGAGTTCCCGGCCTAAATATCCAACTGCCCACTTGACCTCTCAACCAAAATGGTCAATCTTTCTCCTGTTCCCTTGGTGAGTAATGATTGCACTATGAACCCAGAAGTCCACCCTGTTGCTTCCCTCTCCCTCACCCATGAAAACTCAGTCTCCAAGGCCTGCCAATTCAACCTCTTAAACAGATCTTAGATCTTTAAGCGCATAGCCCTCATCGCAGCCAAAACCTGCTATGGGCGTTTTACTCTATTTCGTGGATCACCCAACTGGCCCTCTGGCCCTCCGTCTTGCTCCCTGTCTTGCTCATTTGGTTCACAGTCATCTTTCTAACCCAAATCTGACCATGTCCTTCCCCTCCCTTTTCATCAAAATAAAGTCCAAACTTTAATACCACCCCCAGAGTCCCCCAATCTGGCCCTTGCACCCCACTTTGGCCTCAACTCCCCCACCCTACCCCCGAATCTGGGGCAGTTGTGGGGAAGAGACACCATTGTGGGCAGGGGCTGTTTTCCCTTTGCTAAAATGTCCGGGATAGACTAGAGAAGTGTTTACCAACCCTTTGGAATTCAAAGGCCCTTTATTTATTTATTGTTTTCTGGGGTCCTCAGCTTTGTCTGTAGAACAAGCAGTATTTAGTAAGATGGCATTCTCAGTGCGAGTTGATCTGAGACATAGAGAAGGGCCCAAGAAAGTTTCAGAGCTCTCAAGGGACAGGGTGTCCAGCCTGAAGTTAGAAAACTGTGGTCTAGGACAGAGACCTGTGACACTCAGGCTAGTGAACTTCCTTAGCCGCCTCAGAAATTTCCAAAGAGCTCACTGAGCCCAGCAAGGTCTGGAGGTTCCACAGAGGAAATCAGATGTCCCCACAGTTCTCTCCAGCTCTGGTGCTTCAGAAGAGAAACTGGTGGAAACAGAGAAACCCTATCAGAGGGGTTGAGGAAAACAGTCTAGGTCAGTGATGGCAAACCTATGACATGCCTGTCAGAGGTGACATGCGAACTCATCTTTTTGGTTGATTTTTCTTTGTTAAATGGCATTTAAATATATAAAATAAATATCAAAAATATAAATCTTTGTTTTACTATGGTTGCAAATATCAAAAAATTTCTATATGTGACACGGCACCAGAGTTAAGTTAGGGTTTTTCAAAATGCTGACACGCCGAGCTCAAAAGGTTCGCCATCACTGGTCTAGGACCAAGGTCATTGTGGCTGACAGACCCTAGAGTGCCCCTCTGTTCACAGCCCCTTCACTTGAGTGTGGGCAGGACCTGTGAATTGCTTCTAACCAACAGAATACAGCTAAGGTTACCAAAAGTTACTTTCAAGAGTAGAGTCAATTATATGGCAACGGTGATGAGATGTTACTTTCATGGTTAGATTATGCTGTAGGTAAGACTGTTTTGCTAGTGCACACTAGGGAAATAGTGGATCTATGGAGAGGGTCAGATATCAAGGAAGCGTGGGAAGCCTCTGAGAGCTGAGATGGGCCTCCTGGCCAACAGTCAGCAAGAAAACAGGACTTCAGTCCTATACACATAGCAAGTGAGTTCTGTCAACAAGGTGAGGAGCTTGAAAGCGGATCTCTCCCCAGGAAAGCCTATGATGAGACCATAATCCTGTCCAACGCCTGGACAGCAGCCTGGAAGACCCCAAGGCAGAGAACCCAGCTCATTTGTGCCTGGACTTCTGACCTACAGAAATTATGAGATGATAAATGTGTTATTATAAGCAACAGTGTTTGGTGGCAATTTGTTCTGTGGCAATAGGAAACTAATATAGTAATGATGTGCTGGGATTGACAGAAACTTTCTCTCCTTTCGCCTTCCTGTTCTGTCATTCCTTTCTCTCTAGGTGACTTTCTCCCATCTTTCATCTTTTTCTCCTCTTTTCATCTTTATATTCCTCTCTCAAAACACTAGCTGCCAAATCGTATTGTGCTTCACTCAAGCCATAGCTCAGTCATACACCAGTTCCATGGCCTTGGGCACATTACATTACCCACCTGGCCTTCAGTTTCCTTATCTGTAAATAGAAATACAGTGGGGCCTTGACTTACGTGTTTAATTCATTCCGTGACGGAGCTTGTAACTCAAATTACTCGTATGTCAAAGCATAAAGTGAACGAGTGAGACACGTGATGCTGGGCTGATGTGGCGTTCACTGTGACGTTCGCTGCGCCAACTAGCGGTGGGGTATCTGAAGCTGGCTCGTAACCCGAATTTTAGTTCGCAACTCAAAGCAAAAAATTGGCCGAGAGAGGGCTCGTATCTCGAAAAACTTGTTAGTCGGGACACTCGTAAGTCAAGGCCCCACTGTAATAAAAAAGGTTGTTATGAGGATTAAAAAAAATAATGCACATAAATGGTTAGCCAGAGTTTGTGAGAAAAAGACCGATGCATGGAGAAACCGAGAGGACTCTGCCATGGCCCCTGCCTTCTATTTGAGCCCTGATCCTAGGAACATTGCTGTTTCCGGGCGCCAGCAGTAGAGATGGGTCTGCACTGCACTCTCCTTACTCACCAAACCCACCATGCCACTGGCTGATGATTTCCTTGGCAGTTGACGTAGGATCACTTTTGTCTGGATGGTTTGGATCACAGGCTTGGTGATATGGGTAGGAGTCAACAGAAACCACTGGAGGTAGTTAGTATAGAGACCAATTGGCTTAACAACTCCTTATTACATAGAAGGGGAAACTGAAGCCCAGGAAAGAAGAGAATTTGCTGAAGTTAACAGCTGGACCCAGCTAGCAGTCCTACGTTCAACGAGCTAACAACCTATGAGGGAGACAAGTCCAGATACATGAAAAATAAAGGGATATTGAGGGGTGGTGATTCCAAAAGTATTTACATAGGCAGAGAGGAAAGGAGAGGACTCAAATCAGGGGCACAGCTAGAATAAAACACAGAGGTGGGACAGCTTAAAATGAACCCATGGGGTAGAAGAGGTAAAATGGAAAGGTCAGGTGTAGTGGAGAACCGTGAACACCCTGCTAAGTAAGGAGCTGGAATAGAGCCATAAAGAAGAGTGAAGAGTGGTTAACAAGCCAATCCTGTTTTCAAGGACAATGGGTCTGACAATACTCTTATGCCATTGGTCCAAATGAAGGCAGAGCCTGTGGCTTCTAACATGAACATTGAATGGCCCCAAGTCATTTTGGGGGGGTGGAGGAGAGGGGTGTTTCTCCTGTGTGGGAGTCTCTTCCTCATGCTTCTTCACTGCTTCTCCTTATGCCTGTGCCTCAGTGACCTTCTAAACGGTAGGAGCAGCCTGGCCAGCATGGTTCAGTGGTTGAGCATTGACCTATGAACCAGAAGGTCATGGCTCAATTCCTGGGTAGGGCACAAGCCCAGGTTGTGGGCTGGATCCCCTAGTATGGGGCGTGCAGGAGGCAGTCGATCAGTGATTCTTTCTCATTATTGATGTTTCTCTCTCTCCCACTCGCTTTGTCTCTGAAGTCAATAAAAAATATATTTAAATAAAAAAACAAATGGTGGGGCAGAGGCTTAATATGCTGATCCTTGTTTTCCGTGGATAACAATTCTGCTATTTGCAAGGTCTGTGACCCCTGATAATACTTTTTACTGATGTACTAGTCTGTGTTCTGTACAGAAGAGGCAGTGATGACCTAATAGTTGAGAACACAGGTTTTGAAATCACACCTGATTCAAATTGCTTAATTTCCCTGGGCAGCTGCTTTTGTTTGTTTTTAATTTTAAAAATTTATTTATTTATTTTTAAATACATTTTTATTGATTTCAGAGAGGAAGGGAGAGGGAGAGAGGCATAGAAACATCAATGATGAGAAAGAATCATTAATCAGCTGCCTCCTGCATGCCCCCCAGTAGGGATATATTAGGGATAGAGCCTGCAACCCAGGCATGTGCCCTGACTGGGAATGGAACTGTGACCTCCTGGTTCATAGGTTGACGCTCAACCACTGACCCACATTGGCCAGGTAGTTTATTGATTTTGAGAGAGAGACGTTTATTTGTTGTTCCACTTATTTATGCATTCATTGGTTGTTTCTTGTATGTGCCCTGGTCGAGGGTGGAACTTTAACCAACTGAGCTACCGGGCCAGGGTGTGCCTCTGTTTCTTAATGGCAAAGAAAAATATCAAGGCAAGCACTGTTGCCAGTTGGGCATGAACAAAGTATGAGAGTAAGGGATATTCTCTAAGACTCAGCAACCCTTACATGCTATCAAAAGTGGGGGATGCACACGAGGGAATAGTGTGCCACAGCAGGGAGCAAGGAACTAGATTAATACAGCAAAGCAGCTCTTCAAACGTTAGTAAGGGGTGGGGGAGGAAATAAGAGATGTAGTCTCCAATGCCATCTGTGTAAATTAAAATTCTGACACAAACAGGATTGGAGAGAAAGATAAGAGGACAGCCTTGACCCGAGCGTAAGACTGAGGGGTGTAGGTAACAATAACAGCAAAACAAAACGCGCAATCGAAGGTGTTTCCCGCCAGTGACCAGCGAACTTTCCCGGCAGGGAGGAGACGTGCTCTCCTTGGCCCTCTCCCTCCGCCCTCCATCGCGGCCACGCACAGTCACCGGATTGGCTCCGCTGCCTCGGCCCCCTTGGGACCTTGCCAGGGTCCTTGGCCCAGGGGCGCGATCACGCCTGTTAAAGCTGTGGGGGTGGGTGCTGGTGCCAAGTCCTGCCCCCGAGCATTCCTCTTCCCGTCCTCGCAGCCCAGCAGCCCAGGCTCACCGGGGACTGAGGACCGATACTGACCTAGAGTCCCATTCCAAGTCGTGCCGGGGAGGCCAGTAAGGTGGTCACCCATTCTCGGGCAACCTCGACTAGGATGCAGGGGACTGGGTACACATCCTGACATACATTAGACGACCCTGCTGTCTCAGTCTCCCGGTGCCCAGTGGACGCGCCGGCCATCCCCTGGGCCGGGCGGCAGCGCCAGGCGCCCCGCTCCTGCGCTCTGTCCCGGCTCGCCCCAGCCGCCTCCTGGGTGCTCTCGGGGAGAGCGCGCTCACCTTGGTCGGGACCCTCCAGGGCGCGCACCTGGATCTCCGGGTCCCGGGCGGCTCCAGCGGAGGCGCAGCTGCGGGCCGGAAGGGGCCTCCAGGGGCGCGCTAGGCGCAGGGCGCTGGCCAGGACGCGCTGCATGTGGGCGCAGCGGAAGGCGCCCTCGGCTCCCGCTCGACCTGCCCTCCGGCCCAAGGCTCGCAGGTCGGCCGCGAGGCCTCGCCAACTGCGCCACCTACGGGCCGCCGGCCGCGCGCTCCTCGCCTCCTCGCCTCCGGTAGGGGGCAGCCCAGCTCCGCCGCGGGGTTCGAGGCAAGGCTATCAGCGTTTCTTAATTTAAGCGTCAGTGTTTTAATCTGCAAAACGGGGATAATAATAGTGACCACGGGAAAAGAGAAAGGCAAACGCCAGTTGAAGTACCGACAACAGGTTTAAAACGGCAACGTGCTACTGCAAAAAGGAAATGTCCAGCCTGAACTGAACATATTCGGGCCCGGGGGCGGGAGTTCACCTCAGCCATTGAATAGCAAGCTTTTCAAACCGGTACCAGCCATTTGGGTTTAGGTTTCAGGATAAGAAGGAGTGTGGTCTTGAGCCGGGATTGGCCAGAAACCGACCGGTCTCACAAAAGCCTAAGATGTTTGGATTGTTGGAACTGATCTGTATCCCGTTAATGGGAGTAGTTTAGAAGGGTCAATGCGTGTGTTGCAACTCATGGGACCTTACACCAATAAAGGGTAGGGGTGTGTGGGGGGATTTCACGACAGGTATGTCTAAAATAAAGGGAAAACCAAAGTTCAGTGACTAGCTTTGTGACCTTTTTAATCTCTCTGAAGCTCATTCTCATGTGTTGTTTTGTTAGGATTAAAGGAGGTGTCAGAAACAAAGGCTTTTAGCCCCTAAATATATTTTATTTATTTTATCCTTTTTATTTGCTGATTCTGAATTGCAAATTTGTCTACTCACAAAAATTGTAACCCCAAAGTCAATATTCAAAGAGTTCTTGAGGTGGCAAAAATTTTGAGTGGTGCTTTGTGCATAAAAATTCCTAATTAAAAGCGAGTCAGCTGAGGTCGAACAAAACCATGCAGTACTTGTTTTAGCTTTCATGCTATGAACGAATGTCCTTATCATGATATATTTTGTGCCACATTTTTTTGTTGTTGTTGCATTTTTGTCCTATTTGTTGGTGATTTCACTGTTTAAAAAATGGCCCCCAAGACGGAAGTGCTGTCTGGTATACATAAGTGCAAGAAGGGTGTGATGTGCCTTATGAAGAAAATAATCTTAGATAAACTTATTTCAGACATGGGTTACAGTGCTATTGACCTTGAGTCCAATGTTAATGAACCAACTATATATGTATATGAATATATATATACACACACAGATTGTTTAAACCATCAACAAGAAGGGCAACTGAATGGAAGAAGATATTTGCAAATTATATATAGACTAGAGGCCTGGTGCATGAAATTTGTGCACTGGAGTGGGGAGGTCCCTCAGCCCAGCCTGCCCCCCTCACAGTCCTGGAGCCCTCAGGGGATGTCCTACTGACGGCTTAGGGCCGCTCCCGCTCGCTCCCACAGTCTGGCCTCCCTCTATGGGAGGTGACAGGGCTGATCAGGGGAAGGCACCACCCCCATCACCCCACTGCTGCTGCCACTGCCAGTCACCACAGCCACCACAGTGTTTTCATCAACACGGACTCCAGTCCCTTCACCACGAAAAAAATGACAACTTTCTTTAGGCATTTTCAAGATGTGTCTTTCATAGGATATGACATTTCTTTCTGTTTTTTTTTTTTTATCCTCATCTGAGGATATGTTTCCATTGATTTTTAGAGAGTGTGGAAGAAAGAGGGAAAGACAGAGAGAAACATCAATGTGAGAGGGCCACTTCCATTGTTTGCCTCCTGCATGAGCCCTGACCTGGGCCCTGGCCAGGGAGGAGCCTGCAACCTAGGTATATGCCCTTGATCAGAATCGAACCTGGACCCTGCAGCCCGCAGGCTGAGGCTCTATCCACTGAGCCAAACCGGCTAGGGCAGGATATGACATATCTTAGCCCCTCCTGCAGTGGACCTTTGTT